TCTCTGCTGACTTCTTCAACCAAAGGAAACAAGGTAACCCCACTACTTAACTTGGGCTCGGCATCTGCGTGAACTTGATCTGCCACTTCCGACAAAGGCTTCAACTGCTGGATCCAAAACACGAGTTGGATGTCCTTCTCTCCGGCTCTAGGGTAAACTCGATGCAGGCTACCGACTTAACACTTGCATTAGCACACAACCACAACTCACAGCAAGGCAACACTTGAAAACTTCAAGGCTTCGGTTGGGTCGAAAGGTCCAAAACAAGAACGGTAACAAAGGAGAAAGGAAACTCTGGGGAAAAAAGGCTTAAAAGAAGAGGTTCGGTACAACGGAAAGGATTAGGTGAAGGGTTTTAAGGTTCAGAAACTCAAGGACCACGTTACTTAGGAGTAGGATCAAAGTCATCAAAGTTGCAACTTAGGAAATAAGGTTGCCAGCTTGCACAGAATCGCTAGGAGCGGGGAATACAAGAATGAGGTTCGATTCAAAGGGAAAGATCAAGGTGAGAGTTTAGGTTCAACAATCCGATGACCATGTTGATTAAGAAAAAGAGAATTGTAAAATATGTTACAACTTGAGGTTATGAGATACTTGAGGTATACTCGTGATCTTGGACTGCACTACGGGAGATATCCCGCTGTACTTGAAGGGTATAGCGACGCGAATTGGATATCTGATACTAAGGACTCTAAGTCCACGAGTGGCTACGTGTTTACACTAGCCGGTGCAGCCGTTGCATGGAAATCCTCTAAGCAAACAGTGATAGCTAGATCCACGATGGAATCTGAGCTGATAGCCTTGGACAAAGGTTGTGAAGAGGCTGAATGGCTACGCCATTTTATAGAGGATATTCCTAATTGGGAAAGACCGGTACCTCCAATATGTGTGCATTGCGATAGTCAAGCCACAATTGGGAGAGTACAGAGTCATATGTATAATGGTAAGTCTAGACACGTGCGTCGTAGACATAATACCATTAGACAACTACTCACAACTGGTGTTGTCTCGGATCGATTGACTACGTAAAGTCAAAAGACAATATAGCGGATCCGCTAACCAAAGGGTTAGGAAGAGAAGTTGTGGAGAAGTTGACACGAGGAATGGGTCTACTGCCCTTGGACTAAATAGTTCTATAGTGGATACCCAACCTAGCTAGCACCTAGGTTCAATGGGACAACTAAATTATGGAACGGAGCGCGTCACTGTGGAGGTCTCGGACTCCCTACCACTCCTCGTTAAAACAGTGACTCCCGCAAGAGGCTAGCATGTTAATGCTTTAATGATTCTTGAGTATGCGGGATACTCGAGAAAGAATCACCTATGTTAGAGAGAATTGAGGGTCGCTTCAAAGGAGAATTGTTGGGCACAATTCTTTAGAAACTCTCGCAGAACCAGGAACGGTGACCCACGACCAAAACGGGCACACTCGTGAGAGCAAGAGCATGGTTGGGAGATTCCTGTGTGAGATATGTCATCGTCTACACAAACGGCAGTCGGTTCAAAGACATCGCGTTCTACCGTACAGCTAGTAGAGTAAACATGTCTTTACGAGGGAAGGTTCAAAGGGTATAGTGACTCCCTACCTATCCTATGCAGGGATCATCCGTTTGAACACAGTTGTTTCCGATTTCAAAATACCCCGAAAATCAATTTTTCATTCATGTGGGGGATTGTTGGAAAAAATAGCTTAAAATGGCATAAAAAGGCATGTTAAGTGGCTATTTTGTGGTACAATTATCAGTGGGGTCTACTTCCGATTTGGGTCGGGTCAAAGTGGATTCGTATACTTCGTAGTGAGTCGAAGAGATTGATATATTGTACGCTCAAAACGGATAATGGGTGAATGAGATATTGATTCTCAAAGTAGACTATTTGAGTTGGAAAATGAAGGGAAAAAGTGAGCTTTTTGTCCCACATTGCTTTGGAATGAAGATTTTCCCCCCTTATATACAAGAGCTCTTTTGAAGCTTGTAGAATTGTATAGCATAGAGGCTCTCTCGCGCGGGGGGGGGGGGGGGGGGGGGGGTGCAAATCAAATTCCAACTAGCAGAGATTGAAAAAGGCTTGATACAAGCCCAAGCTCGTGTGCGCCGGCACCTGTGGGCACGAATGTTGTCGTCCGGAAATTGGCATTTTCCAACACAATGTCACTAGGTTGGCCGAAACTTGTAGTTTCGGCCATGGGCCGAAACTGTGGTTTCGGCCAAAGGAGGCCGAGACGAGACAAGGCACCAAGGCCGGAACTTCCAGTTTCGGCATGATGGTCGAAACTTCCACACGAACCTGTACTGCTTTCTGTGACCGTTGGGTTCAATTCTTACTGTTACGGAATTAATTCTTTGAATTAATTCCAATCTTTATTTTTGAATTGAAGCCCATGGTAAATGTTGCTGTTACAAGGTGTAGTGGGGAGTGCCTTAAAGTGCCTCATTAAAAGCTTTTGGCTCCTTCACCCCAATATAAGAGAGGTAGTGAGAAGCAGATTTTTACACACGACAGCACTACCACTGTACACGAAACATTGTTTTCCAGCCTCAAAATTCTGCTTCTACTCCCTTTCTTTGCCTACTGTGTTCATAGCTTGTCTTGCTCGCCGGATTCCTTGTTTGAATGCTCAAACATTGAATCACTAGCAAGTTTTATCCTGGGAAGCCTAGGCCACAACGCTCCTAGCATCTACAGGAGGTGGCAAATAAGGTTTTAAGGAAAGAGTGCTCACTCGACTCTTGCAAAAACCCAACATCAAAAACTAGCCAAATTTCTTCATCTTTTCTTCCCTTCTTTCTAGAAATTAATAATCTTATTTTTGATTATTATTTGTTTTCCTACCAACGGTTCCTACATTAAATACATCTAGAGATTTTGATTCAACTTCCTTGTATGGATGCCAATGTGAATTAAATTGTCAAAGTTAATGTTGAACTTGGTCATGAGTTGGGTAGAATTGGTGCTTCATCTATGAGAATAGGGATACACCATTGTCATACCTTTCATATTTCTTACTCGACTTTGAGAAAAGGGAGTTTGAAAGAAATGAGAATACAAAGTGTTTCTGAATTGCCTAGAATTGTACCCAAATAGAGAGGAGCCATTAAATTGAACTTGCTTGACAATATATAGCACTGCCTGCCCTGCCTAATCGAGGACCAATTGGAGCAGATTTGTCAAATCACTGAAATTAGTGTTTGATAATAGTGAATTATATTAACATTAGGCGAGAAAGTTAACATCTAAATCAGTAAAGATAGTACCATTATTATATGTTAATATAATTCGCTAAGAGCTAACCATAACCGGTAATTGTCAAACAAGATCTTAGTTCAAAAGACTATTTCACACTAATTTATACTATTAATTTAAACTTATACAACACATAGTAAATTATCATGTATTATGCGACTAGTATTTTTTTATGCGCGATGCGCAAAAAAATAGGTGCCCAATATTAGTACATTATATTAAAATTTTAAATTTATTTAGATTTTAGATATTTAAATTATTCTAAATAATAATAATAATAATGTAAATCATTTTTATAAATTTGATATTTATATTTTAGGTAATAATTGACATATAACTCAAATATATAATGTGTATATATTATTATTAATGAAGAAGATAAGAAAATATATGGTGGATGCATGTGCATGGTAACAATAGTGAAAAAGATAACGGAAGTTATAACGGTAGGGGTATGTTTGTCCAAAAAATTTTAATGTACAACTTTTATAGCATAATGTACAAAAAAACTTAACGGTAAAAACGGACATAAATGAGGGGTATAACTTTTGTTCACACTTATTATGTTTTTAGATTAAATAAATGATCAATGAGAAATAAAATTATAAAGCTAAAAGAAAAGAACAATAAAAAATAATAAAATTCAATTAGTACAAGATAATGTTATTATTTTCTCAAAACTAGTTATAACGAAGTTAGGCTTCCCTTAAAAAAGGACCTAGGTTAGGTCATTAATTAATTAGTCCCAATTTACCCAACCTAGATTGGTCGTAATTGTAATACCATGGACCGGGGTTCATATAATAGTGTGAATCTTGATACAAAAATTCTTTACCTTCCGTTAACACATTTTGTACCTACTGTTAACCTGTACACAAATTATCAACTACAGGTACAGAATGTGTCAATTACAGATACAGAATTTGAAAGTTATTTTTGAATCATGGTCTACATTACAAGATAGACCCTGATCCATGATATAATTTGTGAATTAGTCCCCCATGACCGTCATCGAAGTGCCTCATTCCACAATAGACATATTCATATATTAAATAAATACAAATTTATTGTAAACAAAATTCAAAAACAAAGTTAAGAATTCCTAACTAAATAACAATCGAGTAATAACAGTGATGGTTTGGTACTATACAAAAAGCCGATGAAGTGTTTTGTTTAAAACATATTTTGATGTAAAGGGATTGTAATTTTTATGAATGTTAATTACCAAAATGAACTAAAAACAAAGGTTGACAATTTCACATTACCTAATTTTTAAAAAGGATGGACCATATACTCGTTTATTATTATTATTATTATTATTATTATTATTATTTTCTATACTCGAAACTAATCAATACAGATGTGGAAAAAATTATATATCAGGCCTTGAAATTACATATAACAAATTTTTTTAATAACCAAAAACTCACAGTTACTAGTTTAGAGTGTACAAGAAGAAAATCATACTTTGTAATCTAATTAGTCAGCAAAGAATCACTATGAAGTAAATCCGTTTAAGTTTTTCATTGTTGATCAAGTCAAATCAAGAAAGTTAATATGTTACTTCTATTGAGAGGAACAACTTTGTAACCTCGTTGTTACAAGTCAATAGTCTAAATAAACCTAACAACTTTTTTTTGTATGGATTAATGACGCCACATCATGAGGTATAAGTGATGTCAACATGGTCCATTCTCAAAATTGTCACTTATAAATACTTCACTTACTAATGATATAGTCACAGCATTCCCATTTCAACCCTCTTTTGTTCTCAACTACATATATACGATGGCTGCTTCTTCTTCAGTTCGTTTGTTTGCAACTGTCTCACTCTTGGTGATGCTCTTCATGGCCTCTGGTTTGCTCTCTCTCTCTTTCTCCAATTCATATATATATATATATATATATATATATATATATATATATATATATATTATCTTCTTTTTAACATGGTATATATGGGATACGGTCTAAATACATTTGAAAATACTTGACTATTCATCTGGAAACTCGATCTTCTCCAAATACTCGATCTAATTGTGCATGCAGGGATGGGAATAATGGCCGCGGGTCCGAGAATGTGCTCGTCGCGGAGCCAAACGTTCAAAGGGGTATGTATTTTTGCCAACGGCAACTGCAATACAGTTTGCAAGTCTGAGGGGTTTTCCAATGGGAGCTGCACCGGTTCCTACAACCCCATCTGCACCTGCAACAAGCCTTGCTGCTAATAACCAACATTGCTTGCTTCAACTTCAATTCCATCACTGTTATATATATATATATCTAAATAAATAAATGTCCCCCCAAATAATATAATCCAAACATGCATGCATGTTGTTTGGATTTGGTTGTTATTACATATATATATGTGTCAACATGTTGTGTGTTTCGTTTTCTTGTCTCAAGTTATGCAATTTCTGTGTTTTCGTTCTAAGCTATTTTTATACATATATCAACTAAGCTCGTGATACCATAATAGATTATGAATTTGCATGACTGACTTTAGTGGCGTAAACAATTAGCTTTAAATAGCATACAAGAGAGTAAAGATAGCAGATAGTGAGAAGGATGTTGTAACAACCCGTCTAACAATGCTATTCAACAAGAGTATAACTAGAGCTAATCAGAAACAAAAGGTGTCAACCACAGATATCCTTTAACATATATATCGTGTTTCAACAAATAATTTTTAATTTTGTGTTCTATGCACGTACAAATATTAAATTTGTGTAACAAAAACATTCAGGGTGTGTTTGGTTGGCACATGGGAATCGGAATGGGAATGTGCATTAAATACTTGGTAATGGTAATGAGTTTTAGTGAAAGTATTTTGCATTTTTGGTAGTAGGGTGAAATGTGAATGATTATCAATAATGTTGTTTGGTTATGTATGATCCAATAATTGGAATAAAGATTTTAAAAATATAACACAAAATCAATATAATTGATTCTAATGTAGAGACATCCAAATCACCAATATGAACAAAAAATAAAAATAAAAATCTATAAACACTAATCAAAGGGATGAGAAGGAACAAGAGAATGAAAAGTGATGATACCCTTATTTTATTTAAGTATGAGTTTTTTAATTATAGAGGTATTTGAAACACATAATAGTGTTCTAAAAACCTACCAACCAAATAATACCAATGAGTTTGATACTCATTTCTTAGAGCTAAACTTGTCAACCAAAAACACCCTCAGTTTCTTCGAATACAGCGCTAGCTTAGTTTATTAACATAAATGAGAAAAAAATATAAAGTTTAGCTTGTACGTGTAGTTTACAATTACCTTAAAATTGATTCACTTTCTTAACTCGTGATATATATATATATATAATAGATTACCGTATGTATATAAATCAGGTTATATATGTTAGAATAATATTAATTATTATTATTATTCTATGGTTCATTATAATTTATTGTGGTTCATTATTAAATTATAAATAGATATTTAATTATGAGCCACAATAAATTATAATGAACCATAGAATAATAATAATAATTAATATTATTCTAACATTCTCCCACTTGGCTCATAAATCATAATTTTAATAATGAACTTGTTATTACATAATATGTATAGTATGAGCTAATTCTTCATTATATTGGTCAGAACATAAGTCATCGTTAAGTTAGAAATTAATAAGTATCGTGGCGGTAATACGTCACTAATTTAACGTAGTCCCTTATATGTATCACAATATTAATTCCAAACTCAATATGATTCATAATGAACTTTTTCATGATGGTCCACGATAATGTCTTTGTCAAAGAAAAATCTTGTTTAACATAAAACATTCATGTATATATACTTCATAAACTAAACAGGATACTTAATACAGAAATGAAACTATATTGAGCTCTAAGTATCAAATATATGAAAACACAACCTTAACATAATGTTAGCAGTTCCCAATAACGGCCATTCTTTCAACATGCTAACGAACTACCTTTGGTGGCAATGCTTTAGTTAATGGGTCTGCAATCATTAATCTAGTGCTAATGTGTTTAATTGATACTCTTCGTTCCCGAACATCTTCTTTAACGGCAAGATACTTCAAATCAGTACGTTTAGCACCACTTGTATACTTGTCATTTTTTTAGAAAAGAAGATTGCTACGGCATTGTCACAATAAATTTTCAGTGGCTTGGCAATACTGTCGACAATTCCATGTCCCGAAATAAAATTCCGCAACCATAATCCATGATTTGTGGCCACAAAACATGCCACAAACTCCACATTCTAAATCTTTCTAGAACTTTGTTGATATATGCTTTCTGAGACAATCTAACACTCATTGTGATCTTTTATTTCAAAGTTCTTAGAAAGAAATTGCTTGGTCTCATGCATTAAACCAAGATCACTAGTAGCAAGCAAAATGTCATCGACATACAGAATCAAAAATATAAATTTGCTCCCACTGACCTTAAGATATATATGTAACCCCCTAAAAACAAGCTATTTAAAAGCCTTAAACATGCAGATAACTGAGCTAAACAACAAACACAACGGAAGACTGAAAGATAACTAGATAAACATAGTCCAAAACATGGAGTATTATGCCACGTTCACCAAAAGGATGAACGCTATGGCAACATCTGCAATGTTTACATCTAAAGCCATAGCCTCAAAGTGCTACATCTAAACTGGCACACAGGCCACAAAACAAAGAGGGAGAAGCTATACTAGCAAGCACTAGACCGCGCACTCATCTAGACATCACCTGAAAGAACACAATAAAACATGGGACGACGCGCGGTCAGCGAATAATGCTGGTAACCCACCAATACTTGTGAAATAACATACATAGGTAAGATATAAGTTTGTAAAACCATTTTCGAAACGGAATATATATATATATATAAGTCAAAAACCAAGAGGAATAGTCAACACAAGACTCAACACTCTCTCAACAAGGATACGGGAACACATCCCGAAACCACAACACAAAGGATAAAGACAAGACCGATGGCAACACATGCCCTTGTGAATACACACGTCACAAGAAGAGAACTCACAACAACGGCTACACAAGCTCTCGTGACATCACCCATCACGAGTTGATATGCCTTCCTTATGCCCGGTTCCAGCCTTATGGCTACCCCCAACCTTATTTCTTCTTCCAACCATTACCTCCAGGACCCCTGTACAACCAAGTCCAACGTTTTCCCTCCTGGGACCGTCGTCCCCCACCAATGACCACCAACGAGACCACCAATTTCATAGTACACGAGGGTACCGTACACACACACGGCAACACATGCCACCCAAGAATCACGTGAACCTTATACAAAGGTCACAACTCCATAATCACGTCACGGCCACCACGAGGACCGCTGCAATACCTTGGTAACTAGTGTCCCATACCACTAATCGTGCAATCCAGGTAAAGCCACGCACACATCACACCACAACAGGAATCAATCAACGGATCACAACGAAGACATGAACCATACTCAATCAAGGAATGGATCACAGCCCAACAACATCAACGATGAATAACACAAGTTATCATCAACCAATCGGAAGGTACGAACAAAACACACGCTAGCATTTAAACACCGAACTAGCATGCTTATCAAACGGGTAAACCAAAGGTAGTTCCGAAGAACACACGAGACTCATCACTGTTCAACGAAACACAATGTTGAACACTTAGCACGATTCACGACACCAAAACCTACATGGATTCCTACCATATAGTTCTAGACATACGAAACATCAAGAAGACACTCAAATAGTTCCACAAAAGAACATCGGGAAGTCAAAAGACCAAATACCGAGTCAAAAAAATCACGAGGAAAAAATCCCGAACATACATCGAAGTGTACCCCGCGGGTGGGCCCACGGGTAGGCCCCTACCCGTGGTCCTGCCCGCGGGTACAAGCCTTCTCACAACATTTACCCCGCGGGTGGGCGGCGGGTTGGCCTCCTACCCGTCGTTCCGCCCGCGGGTACAAGCCTGTACCACAACAAAACACTTCGTGGATTTTCATCTCCAAACTCAAATTCAAGTCCAAAACATGCCAAAACTCACCAAATACAACAAAATGACTTGAATCAAAGGAAATGCCAAGCAATGGCACAAAAGAACCCTAAACACAAGCTCTAGATATGCATTTTCACAAGATCATGCATCAACACTCACATTTCATAGCAAAACACATGTAGAATCCAAGAAATCACATAGAGGTATGCAAAATTGGTTTTGTAGAGCATGGGTTACCTCTTGTAGACTAAAGACTTCACTTTAGACCTCAACAAGCTCCTCTCAAGGCTCACCTTCCAAACCCACTTCAAGAACATACCAAAAGATCATAAAGATCCTATCTTTAAGAAAAGACACCTTAGATAAAACCAAAAACACAAGATGAACTTAGATCTTACCCTCCTAGATGCCCAAATATAAGAAAGGTTGTGTAACACCCCAAAATTTTGAAACTTTTAAATCTTATATGATAAAGGTAAATCCTCATTAAATTCCGAAAGTAAACATATGAGTACGGGGTGCTATGCCACACCTGAGCTAGAGAACTCAGGTGCACAGGCAAACTAACTAAAATCCTCAAAGTAATGTCAGTACATAAGCACGGCATGCAGGCCGAAAAAGGAAACTAGCTACTCTACGCTTCAGATCTCTAGCGCGCTCCGGTGTCTACTCATCTGTGCCTGAAAGCCAAATATATCTGTTCAGCGAGAGATGCTAGTAACCCACTCCAACGAGTTGAAATACATTATAGGTAGATATATATAGATATACGAAAATCATTTTGAAGCAGGAAGATATATACTTAAGAGACTCTAGCTTTAAAACCAGGAATAGACAAAGCAAAATGGGGACAAGCACATTAATCAAGGATAATCAGTTAAGTAGAATTAACATCATAAGGAATACGCATCTTAAGGTCACAGATTACTTTTCAATTCAAACACATCATCATTCATATAACATAATCATTGATGGCGCCACGGGACCAATCGCATGCCCCGAACATGAGGGTTAATGCTTATAGCATTAACACGGCCCCGTAGCACCCTACCTCAGTACCGCGGTATGAGGGGAGTTGATCGCAACCAACCCTTTGAGAACCTCT